ACTGAATTCCTGGCATGAGAAATGGCCCGCGATCATAGTGACATCTATTCAAAATTCTGCCACACGTCCTAACGGTACTCCCGGAGTATTTTTCATACCCTCGCACTGATTCCAAATGACAAAATTTGCGGTAAGTATAATTTTCTATATCGGCCGGTCTATAGTATGGAAATGTGTCACGCTGAAGAAGGTTCAGTAAGGTATCGCTCACAGCGACATCTGTGTTGACTCGTGGAACTCTGTTCGGTACAACGGATCCACCGGATTCCGCCGGGACTCCGAGACACTCCCTTGGAGGGGCTACGGACGAGGCAAGTGTTAGGGTGCCCATTCTCCGAGCTTTCAAGCTGTTGATTATTATTTTTGTCCCCGTGACATGGTGTTTTTGTTGTCTTCGACGTGGATCAATAGACATTCGCGACAAGCTGTGGAGGACCTTTATTTCTGGAAAAACCTTATTGTTCTTAGGTAACTAACGGGTGATACCCGAATAGTTCGATGAAATATATGCTCTAAGAAGTATTAGGCGAGATTTTCAATCGTGTCATATATTCTGTATGCTCGATTTTGTTGTTCGTTGGCCTTGATTCTTTTCTTCAACCATAAAAACTGTATTTGGTGCGTAGGTAATGTCGATACACGATTATTTGGTCGTGCTTTATGTTCTCGAAACTATTCGTTGTGTTGTTTGTTGACTTAATAAGTCGTGTAGTGTTACTATACTCTCTATGGTCCGATATGTGCAGGTTTCAGTGTTTTCTACCGAACGTCGTAGATTTCTCTTGCAAATTGCGTGGTGATCGTGCGGAAAATGAATAAAACACTCGGCGAATTCGACAATTTCATCAGCTCTAAAGCTTTTAACGTGGAAGTCCTAGGAACTCCTTGGAAGTACAATCCGCTGTGGGACAAAGAACCTGGGGAGAAAAAAAACGCAGGGTTCAAAGTGAAGCTTGAAGCCTTCGGTCGTTTTTTGGAGTTTCACGGCCTACCTCAGGTCTTATACTGCGCCCTGAAAATATCTGGGGAACAGTTTTTCATTGGCGCAAGTGTGCCTAGTGTGCATGAATTTCAGAATGCCATGGGCTTATTCTACGAAAAGCATCTATCGGACACGGATCTCGGGACGTTGCGAGCCTTGGGCTTAAAGAAGAAGCATTTGGCTCGAGATGTGGAGCGCTTGGAGGAAATTCACGTCGGGAAGGCTTGATTTTTCCTAGGAATCCGCAATAATTTGTTTGAATCTGCAGGGATTTTTTTTCCAGCACGGTTGGGCGTGTTGCACCTTCGATGTATAGTTGTACTGATGTAGATATTGTAGCAATTCTTCTTGCTTTTACTATTTCGTTACGTTTTGACTTCTGTTGATTCCTTTCGAGGTGATTCTTGTCGAGGTATTCGGTGATTGCTACTTAGAGTAGCAGAATGTATTTCAGCGGATCTCGTGCGTAGAATTCGGCATTTGCGTTACGGGTGTTGTTGAAATTTTTCATGTTTTTAGAATGCTTGTGCGTGATTGCTTCGTCATGTGTGATTCTTCGAAGGCACTTCAGTACAACTGATCGTGGTCATGCGTCAATTTTGCGCTTGCAATTTCTTGCATGAATTCTCCTCGTTTCAGGGATCGGAAGGTCGTTTGAAGCGTCACTGAGATTTATTTCAGGTTATGGGAAAAGTGTTTTAATGAACCTCAACCAAGGGAAGACACGTTTTATATTGAAGCTTTTTATTTTCTTCCAGATGATTACCACGCCCGTTAGTTTACTGAATCAGGTTGCTCACTGATCGGTGCTTCGCATTTTTCTGTGATCATGTAAATCTGCTAATTTTCCTTCGGAGATAAAAACTACATTTTGTTAAAATGGGGGAGTTGATGATGGGAACTGCGAGCTTCCTCCATATGGGGGATGTTGTTTCACTGTATGCAGAAGGACAAGTGAACGGTTTCATCAGCACGCTGGGGTAAGTTTTCTTCATTCTCTGTATTGAGAATGAGCCTTACATTTCCGTTTCACTTTCGAATTTATACCTGAGTCAATATTCATGATTTTTGCGTGTTTTCAGCTTGGTGGATGACCGTGTTGTTGTCAACCCACGAGCAGGAGATTTAACATGCCCTCCGAAGAAATTCCGAGGTAAGTAAACGAATGCTCAACGATTTGATTTTCTTCGACATTTCCTAATTTTGTTTTCCGTGCCTTGTTCAGATTGTTTGTTCAGGATTTGTCCAATGAACCGATACTCAGCCCAGAAGCAATTTTGGAAGGCCGCGAAGCAAGCCTCTACGTCTGCATCTGATACCGTTCTCTTGAAGAGACTACACGTACGTTTCTAAGTTACCGTAAAATTGTCTTGCTTTGCAATTGATCTAAAATTTTGAACTTTTCCGTGTTAGCATGCTGCGGAAATTGAGAAGAAACAAAACGAAACAGAAAATAAGAAGCTACAAGGGTCACGGATACAGTATGGTGGAGTAATTCAAATGCTCCATTTGAAGTCGAACAAGTTTTTGACTGTGAACAAGAGACTCCCTGCTCCTCTGGAGAAAAATGCTATGAGGATTTATCTAGACCCAGCAGGAAACGAAGGTTCATGGTTTTACATCATGCCGTTTTATAAATTGAGATCCACTGGTGATAATGTCGTTGTTGGAGACAAAGTCATATTGAGTCCCGTGAACGCTGGGCAGCAGACTTTACATGCAGCTGCAAATTACGAACTTCCGGATAATCCGGGTTGCAAAGAGGTGAGTTAAATATATTCTAAATTGTATTTTATAGGTTTACATTTAATTGACAGTTTAATTTGCTTATTTTAATTCCACCATGCTTCAAGATAGTTGTCAGTACAGTTCTTCTAAATTAAGGTCTCCGGATTCCGAAGTTTCTGGAGCAAAATTGGAAATAGTATAGGAACATCAATAAGTCTGCATTTATGTGTCATGATTTTATTAAATTCCAACTGCTATTTTGACTTGGTTAAGTTAGATCAGTCGGTATAGATGTTATTCTCTTTTCCGAATGTAGTCAGTGATTCAAGTGAGGTTTTTCATGTGAGGATGTTTGTTTTACAAGTACTATTTGATTGATCGTGAGGAAGATGAAATTCTTTCGTAGAACTGACACTTATTATAAAATTAATAATTGGAGGTCTTTGGGTATCGCAGTTTCTGAGGCGAAATCGAAAATACTGTTGGAACATCAACGAGTCTCCATTCATATGTCGTGATTTTATTACATTCCTACTACTTTTTTTATTTGGTTAAGTTAGTGAAGTCGTACTAATTTTGTTTTCTGATTGAGGTTCCGCCATTCAAGCGACTTTTTTCATGTGCGAGAAGGCGAGGGTGGAACTTTCTTTTACTAACAGAATTTGATGGATCATTTAAGGAAACTCATTTCTTTCGAAATACTGAAAATTGTGGAATAAGTGATTGTTCTTAATTTTCAGGTGAACGCTGTGAATGGAAACACGTGTTGGAAAATCGCGCTTTTTCTGGAGCACCGAGAGAACTCCGATGACATCCTCAAAGGCGGAGACGTGGTTCGATTGTTCCACGCGGAACAGGAGAAATTTTTGACCATGGATGAGTACCAGAAGGGTCAACACGTCTTCTTGCGAGCCACTGCGAGAGCAACCGCCACGTCCGCCACTTCTTCCAAGGCCCTTTGGGAAATCGAGGTTGTGCACACCCAACCCTGGCGCGGTGGCGCCGGTCATTGGAACTCCTTGTTTCGGTTCAAGCATTTGGCGACGGGATTGTATCTTGCTGCCCGAGTCGACGACGACCAGACTCCTGATGTGATGAGGGACAAATTACGAGGTAAGATATTCTTAAATTATTGCCTCGGTTTAATAGACTTGACCTCGTCTACTATCCGGAGGGTTCATCAACCGAGACAATGTCTTATGATAGTTTTCTTCAGTCCCGCGAAATCTAGAAGATTTACTATTTTTCGCCCATTCGATGAGTGCGTGGTTTTCTCGATTTGTCAAGTACTGTATATAATACAGGTGGACCCTCTTCACAATAAAATTCAGGTGATCATAAAAAAGTTCGTTTTTGAGAATATTTCGCGAAAGAACCCCATAAGATCGGTAGAAAATCCTATGGGGACCCAAATAATTGTTTTAGAGAGGAAATCGTCGTGGAGGTAATACCTTTCGCAGTTCTTTTGATTATGTAAATAGATCGCTCTCGTGTTCAGTGAATATTTTGAAGCTTCTTCCGCTATTCCTCAACCTTTGTTTCGGGAATGTCACAGGTGTCGCCTGACGTTCAGTTGGTTCACAGTCAAGTTTTAGCCACTGAAAAAGGTCAAGTTTTAGCCAGATTATGCCAGGTTATTCGAGCGTATGTGTGGCTAGTTCCTTTCGAGCTGTGGTATTTCATGTACTGTACCAGAAAAAAGAGTCCCCGCATAACGAAACGCCCGCACAAAAAGCATTCGCTTAGCGAATATTTTTATTTTTGAAAACTCACCCGTCGAACGAAAATGTTTCACATTATAAATTTTTTTTGAAATTCAGAAAGATTGAGGGAATTGAATACTGAAATTTAATGCTACTCAATGTAAAATTAACACCTTTATGCTGAGAAGTACATGGTTTTGAAGGTTCATGATGGTCATTCGGTAAGTGTTACAATATAAAGAAAGAATTACAATATATCATTAAAAAATGTAATCTTAAGGGAAAGTACGTTTCGCGTGACGAAAATTTGGCAAAATGACCCGCATCCAGAAAGGATTAGGTTCGTTATGTGAGGATTCATATCCTTTCTAGTTTGAGGGATTCCGGTGACACCTGTCCGATATTCCGGAAACCAATGCTGTAACCAAGAAAATCGTGGATTTTGTGTTATTGGAAGTTGAATATTTGAAAGAAGAAAAAAAACGTTTTTCGTGTGAGGTGAACGTTTGATGACTAAGAGCGAATGAACTGGATGTTATTGCAGGTGACAAAGAGGCTTACCATTTGGTTCCTTTCAACGACGCCCAAGACAGTTCGACTATTTTCGAACTCGATCCCACGACGATAACAAGAAGTGATTCTCTGGTTCCTCGGTCAGCTTACGTTCGTCTGCATCACTCGTGTTCTTCAACCTGGGTCCACTCCACGTCCATTCCTGTGGACAAAGAGGAAGACAAGCCGGTTATGGCGAAGGTCGGGGCATGTGGGATCAAGGAGGATAAAGAAGCCTTTGCGATTGTGCCAGTAACGGCACAAGAAGTTCGCGATTTGGATTTTGCCAATGATTCTTGTAAAGTATTGTCCGCCATCGCCGACAAGCTTGTGCAAAAATCCATCGCACCGAATGATCGAAGGTGAGTTGCGAATGTTTCAAACACGCCACACACATAGAGCAATTCTCCTGAGATTGTTTCATGCTTGTGCTCCTCAAGTTTGCATTAAGGTTTTGTTAATTGCATGACGTATTCGGGAATATCCGTGGGCTTCTGGTGAAATTCCGTTCCACCTCCACTTGCTTTCCCCCGGGCGACCTTTCATTCTTCGCTTTTTGGGGACAAGCATCTTTTAGTTCTAGGAAATCATCTAAAAAATCGAGAAAACCAATAAATGTAATGCTTCAGAGATGAATTTGTTCAAATTTGTTGGACTTATTTTTTTTTGCGTTATTTTGGTTGGGTCATACGTGGGTCACAGTTTTAGGTTTGCGTCATAATTGATTCCTACTGAAAAATTTCCTACAAATTTCCGCGCACAATTTGCTTTTTAATAGAAATAATGGAAAACTAATTCAAGCTGAGTTGAATGAAAGTCAAACTTTTGGATCATCTGTGTTTTATTTTCAAAACTTTGATATATTTTCAGTCACGAGACATGGGGTGTGCGTCCTACTCGGGGATATGTTTTATCCAAATTTTAAGACTAGAAAAGTGGGTACTCAAGGATCTGTAGATACGGTAGTTTTGCTTTGGTCATTTTATTGTTGGTTGAATTAGTTAAGCCAAGTTAATCGAGATTCCGAATTTTTGCAATTTTTTTTCAGATGGGCATTTAAAAAACAACGAATGTTGAAAAATTTATTTAACATGTCCCCAAAAACAAAGAATGAACGGCCAAAATAGTTGAGGTCTGGTAGGGAGAGGCTTGCAGGAAAGGATTTTCTGGAAGTACTTCAAACAATTGACGTATTTATTCTGACCGTTTTTCGTTGATGCAGGTCGGCGACGCAACTGCTGCAAGAGCTGATTTATTTCATCGGGAATTGCGAGGGTGAAGCCAACAGGGGAGAAGCCCTGGATCTTATCGTCCCGAACCCGAATCGGGACCGACAAAAGCTTCTGCGAGAACAAGCCATTCTGAAGCAGATATTCCGCATTTTACAAGCCCCTTTCGACCCCGGTAGTGACGGCAGTGGACCCCTTCTTCGCATCGAAGACATTGGCGACGCTCATCACGCTCCGTTTCGCTACATGTTCCGTCTTTGCTATAGAATCCTACGTCTCAGTCAACAAGACTATCGCAAGAATCAAGAATACATCGCCAAGCACTTCGGATTCATGCAGAAACAGATTGGATACGATATTTTGGCTGAAGACACGATCACGGCGTTGTTGCATAATAACAGGAAGTTGTTGGAAAAACACATCACCGCTGCTGAGATTGATACTTTCGTTGGGCTCCTGAGGAACAATGCAGGGAAGGCGTCTGCGAAAAATCCGGGGAAGAATTGGGATTGGCGATTTTTGGACTATTTGTCTGATTTGTGCATTTCGAACAATGAGGCCATCCCTGCGACGCAGGAATTGATTTGTAAAAGCGTGTTATCGGAGCAGAATGCTGACATTTTGATTGAAACTCAGTAAGTGATTTTTGAAATTATATTCAGTGTGTAGTACTTGATCTGTTGGTAGCATCATTGTTTGAAAAATCTCTTGAGTAATTTGTGTGAAACGATTTAGAATTTCTAATTCGTTCCATAACCCCCGAAAGGTCATATACTGAGTGAGTATTTTGATTTCGCGTAGAATGGCTGATACGTCCCGAATTTATTTATTAAGATATTGTTTCACACCTCATCTTGCATAAATTACAACGATAAATAAACGATTATCTGCATGAAAAATCATGAAACAGAAAAATGCTCGGCAGAAAAGAGCGTTCAGAACGATCGATCACGTAAAAAAAAGTATCCACTTGAAAACTTGATGTGGAAGTTCCATTTCCCACAACACTTCCGCTTATTTCAAGGTCAATCAATTATAATTCAGTAGATTATCCGAAGAAAGAATCAGTGACAGCTCGAGACTATTGTGCGAATGAATCCGTTATGCATTTTTTCGCAACGGATTATATTGATTTTATTCTTCAGGAGAAGGATCTTTTTTGTAATGTCATTCGAAGCTGTCAAGTACTTTTGAATTACTGTTCACCACTTCGCTAATCTTCAAATTACCGTATATTCCACAGAATTGTGCAAACTCAGCAGGAAGTGGAACTCGAAGTTGAGGGTGATGGAGGTGACTTGGAACCGATCTACACTGTTGAAGAGACAGAGGACGTGGTTTTGGTTTGGGATAAAGGCCGGGTACGTTTCGATTATTATTTTTTTTTTCAGGACGTTGTTATTTTGGATAATAAAGTATTTTGATAAAATAATTGTGGACGATTATTGTTTATAGCGTCCGAGAAGCATAATTGAATTGGCTGTTCATGCGAACCAAGGAAGAGAGGAGGATCGTGCAGTGCTTGACTATTACCGACATCAACTGGATCTTTTCTCAAACATGTGTCTGGATAGGCAGTATTTGGCCATCAACAAGCTTTCACAATGTTTGGACATCAATTTGATTTTGAAGTACGGAAAATTTTCCTGCGATACATGACTAATACGCTGTATTTATGAGATTGTAAAGGCGAATTTTCATACAGTATTTCAACTCTTCAAATACGAAAACGGTGGATTACTATAAAAAATTGTGAAGAACCACCTATTTTTCCCTGTCAAATTAACCGAGCGAGTAAAGTTTACTATCTCGTCACTTCTAGTGGGTGGACACTTTTTGAACGCGTATAACTTTTATCTTGCTTACTAAGTTAAGATCCCATCGTTTCCGGTTTATTTCTAAGTTGAATGTGCGTCTTATGCTTTCGAAAATATGGAACTGGATACTTCTATAAGGTTGTTAGTTCACGTCTGGAAAATAATTATAATGTGGATGTTAGTTATTAATTTGGAAATGAATTTGCTATTTCAGATGCATGGCCGATCAGGAGCTTTCGTTTGAATTGAGAGCGAGCTTCACTCGGCTTATGTTACACATGCACGTCGATCGAGACCCGCAAGAAACAATCACTCCTGTCAAATACGCCAGGTTATGGTCTGATATTCCTACTCGACTCTCAATCCCGGAGTGAGTCAATTCCACGTGGATTCTGAGCCGTTTTTCTTCAAACCTTCCAGCATTGATGTCATTTCATTCAATAATTATGAACAGCTCAAGCTTCTTCTGGCCTACTAATACCCTCCCTTTGTCCTGTATGATGAATGTCTCGGCGTTTCGGTTTCATTAAGGGTCTATGGGTGATGGTGGCTGTTGAGGTTTATGTCTATTGCCAGCTGAGGAAGCTTTATTGCGCCTGGAGCAGCTGATGGGTAATTTTTCTTAACCTTGCTTATGCGTTCCTTGCACGTGAAAATTGGTATGCACCGTGTTTTATTGATGTGACTTCGTTTTTGTGGAATCTCTGAAGCCTACTGAAAGCGTTTGAGAACATTTTCAGCTAATTTACTACACATAAGATTTGAGGGTTAGTTTGATCGATATATAAGCTTTGATTGCCGCTTATCAGTGCTCACAAAATTTTTGAATGTGTTTCAAGGAAGACATGACCAAAAACTCAAAATTTGCAGAACAAATGTATGCTTCTGTATGACGAAGCAGTCCACTTTTTTTTAGCTCAATATTTTATGAGAAGTGTGTTGTTGGGACTTGGAGTGAATACAGTAAAAAAAAATTGAAACTCTTCCGAGTGACTATGTTCCACGTTACCATTAAGTCGATATGTTGCGATCTTGGCAGTTTTCGCAAATATACGTAACAGGAAGTTTTTAGTTGATGAGCTGGAGTTCGTCGAATTCAGGGGTGGAGTTGAGAAATAATCAAATAAGTAAATGGGAAATGAATAGAAGCCAAGTATTATTGATTCTAATTATCTGATGGATAATGACTTAGCATCTTTGAAAAACGATGATTCTCTTCAATATAATGACAAGCGTTTTAAATCAACCCTCGATTATTACTTCGTTCAGAATTTTTTTAGGGCTGAATAACGCATGTGTTTGTGCTGATGTGCGTCTTGCTTTCTGTGATGGTTTTTTTTTCTTGTGAACAATTATTTTNTATGATTGAAAATTTTACGTTTTGTGAGACTAGCGAATTTTCAAGTCCGAATTTTTGAGAGATGGTTTCTTCGTCTTGTTGGTGCCGTGTTTCCTTACTAATGACAACAGAACATTATTTGATAGCTTTAAAATTACGACATTTTAAAATTGAATCCTATTCAGGTACGACACGAATAAACCGGCTGACGAGAACAAGGATCACGTACAGCAACATTTTGCGTCCGTCATCATGTTCGTTGAGGACTATTTGTGCAATGTCGTGTCGAAAATGTGGGGATTTTCCGATGCCGAACAAAACAAACTGACATTCGAGGTCGTAAAATTGGCGAGGGAGCTGATTTATTTTGGATTCTATTCGTTCTCGGATTTGCTTCGTTTGACGAAAACGTTGTTGAGAGTTTTGGACACGTCTTCGCATCGCATCGGAAAACGTGGGAACGATGGAAAGCCTGCAGGTATGTCTACAGTTTACCTTTTTGTGAAAATTTTCTCAAGTACCAGAAAAGAGAAATCGAAAAAAAATTCGTATCTGATGGCATTTTCAGTTTTTTACTCCAGCATAAGTTCTGATTTTGATGTTTTTTACGGGTCGCAATGGCTTTGTTATAATGAGCTTTCACTATTATTTCTTTTAGATGCTAAAGGAGGGGTTGCCAAAAGCATTGAGGAAATGGGAGCCTTGATCAGCACTGTGGCTCTTGGGGCGTCTGGAGCTGAAGAAACAGGACGAGGCTATTTGAGGTCTGGAGGTAGATCGAGGCCTGGTGAGTTGAGCATCAGTGTTGGGACCTGTGCTCCGACGACTGCGGGAGCGACTTGTGGCAGTTGCATCACGTGTGACAATCTCACTGGCAACAGTCCGTCGAAAAACGATATTCTCATCATGGAAACCAAAGTCAAGATTATTGAGATTCTTGAAGTGAGTTTTTTATGTGCTTCATCGAGAGATTTTATTTATCATGTGTAAGTTTTCCTTCTACAGTGGTGCCTCGGTTAATGGACTGAATTCATTCCTAGAGAAGCTTTTTGTACCCTTTAAAGCTATAATGATTTTTTTTATACTCCGCTAGCCTGACAAACGTGGAGCTTCGTGAAATAGTACAATACATTTCAAATTCTTCGAAATTCTCTCGTGAATTCTTGAGTGAATTGTTGAATAAATAAATATGTATTAGATCTATATTCTATATACTGTACTTCGATGTATCTGCTGTACTGTGTATCAATCTAGCCCGTCACCGAAGCTTCCCTCTTTGAAGATGAGCTTGGCGTCCAGGTTCCCTTGTACAATTTCAAAATTTTTAATGACCACTTATTGAACAGTCCATTATACGAAGCAGGCACATGTGACATACTTTTTTTAATGGATCGTTCATTCATTTATTTCCATGGTTGGCTTCAATTCAAGTCTAGTTGGAATTCGAAACTAATACTGTACCTTTTTTCATGAAAAATTATGCTCACCGCGTGTCACTGACCAAACTTAAAGCTTGTTGAAAATCCCTGGTTTAACTGAATCTAAACTAACTTGTCAGAGTCGAAGGGATTCTTGCCGAAATGTAACTTCAGGACCTAGAAAGAAATTAAGGGATATCAGTGAAATGACGGAGATGTTGAGAGCTTAAGGAGTATAAACCTTATATTTTTTCTGCATGATAATACTGTATTAAAAAATTGTGTAATCCTCTTGGGGAAATCCATCGCATGATCTCTAATAAAATCTTCCTCTTCTTTTCAGTTCATTTTGAACGAGAGGCTAGATTACAGGATCAGCAGTCTTCTGTCAATATTCAAGCGAGAATTTTCGGAAAGTGAGCGAGAAAAGGAACGTCAGAATGACGGCGATGCTCTTCGGGAAACCGGGAAAGACTCAATATCGAAAACTGGCGACTTGAATGATGATCCCATTTCTCATTCTTCTGGAGACAAAGGGATCGACCTGGAGATCATCGGCGCACAAGCAGAAGGCATTTTTGGAGAAAAGTGAGTGAATCGTGTTTCATGTATCAATCGTGGAATTGTGATTCATACCTGAAAAATATCAGATAAATTTTGTTCTTTGCCTATACAGTACTGTAATTGTACTGTATTTAAATAATGAAAAAATTTGCTGTACGGTAATAAACTTCAAGACGCACATTATTTAATTGAGTACCACGCACCCTCGAGTAAGACACGCACCGCAACTTTTTATTTTTCAGAAATTCATCCAAAAATCTCTTCGTTTAAGACCAGTACCCCAGTTTTTTCTTTTCTTTTGCTGCTGAAAATTAAGAATAGTGAAATCTATTTTGTGTGGATCCATGTTTCCCCATTGATATTTTATTGTTTCTGTTTTTTAATCTGCAGGAGCAGTTTAAATGTGCTTGCAATATATGGCAGCTTTCTCAATTGGAAGAATCTTTTCCCCTTCGTTTTTTCCTGCTCCAACTGATATATTCCTGAAGTTGCTGTTGCTTGAACCATCTTTTCCCCATGGACAAAGATTCTTAGCGCCTCACATTAATTTCTTCTTCATCTTCTTGTTGCTCAGATGTAAGGGACACTGATTTTAGGGATATTTTTAAATTTATTTTTTAATACATTTTTTTCTGAAAGAAGGGCCGCGTGGCACCCAAGTAAATACGCTGAGTCATTTTGTCATTTTCTATTTGCAGCAAAGAAAGTGCAGAATTGGATCTTGATGGCGACGGAGGGCGGATGTTGCTTCGAGTCCTATTCCAGCTAATCATGCACGATTATCCGCCACTCGTCACCGGCGCCCTACAACTGCTCTTCCGCCACTTCAGCCAACGTCACGAAGTCCTCCAAGCGTTTCGCCAAGTACAGCTGCTAGTCTCGGACGCAGACGTCGAGTCCTACAAGCAAATCAAAGCTGACCTCGATGAACTGCGTTTGCTGGTTGAAAAATCGGAATTGTGGGTGTACAAAGCGAAGGCTGGGGACGAACGCAGTGGAGCGAGTGGTGATGCTGGTGACGACAATGCCGACGGTGACGGAGATGGGCCAGGGAAGAAGAGCAAAGGGGAATTGGGTTCGGCCAGGAAGCGAACTGCGACGAGGCAACAACCACTGGTCTTGTCAAAACTGGTGAGCATTTCGAGGATTTTGCAATCTTAAAGTTTCTTAGCACAGTTCATTAACTTGGAAATAATCGTTTTTGGAATCCCAAACACATGGGGTTATTTTATGTTCGCATTACCAAATTTTCACGTGTATCGTATCTTTTTTTTTTCAGGACGGAGATTTATCCTCGAAGTCAAAGAAAAGCTTCTCTTCGAGAGCCCCACTGTTGAGTCCTTCAGATAGGCAAGGTTCAGCGATTGACTTGGATTTAGGTCCACCAATTGACATCACTCAATCTCGTAATTACAAGACTATCCAACAGGTAATTAGTATTGATGTACTGAGTTTGACATGAAGAGGTATGGTTGTAACTTTTTAAAACATATGAAAAATCCACATCGATGTGCTTAAAATGACGTTGTTTCAACACTGATCCTGATTCTCCCTCCAGACTGAAGAACAAATTTCACGTTTTCTCATTGACCTTTTAGATTTTGATCAGGATGCACAAAATGTGTACTCAAGAAATGGACACGGGAATGGGTTCCCCTATGAAAACCACGTTCAGTTCAAACATGTCTTCGGGACAGTCCAGTATCGCCTCCAATTCCTCTCATTTCAAAGCCCGACGACACGAACAACGTTTGCTGCGGAACATGGGCGTTCATGCTGTTGTACTGGACTTGTAAGGATGAAAGAGCTGATGAGACTGGCGCATCAGTTTTTGCAAGGATTCTGCCTGTCCAATCCGCAAAATCAGGCTCTATTGCATAAGCATGTGGACTTGTTTCTCACTCCTGGGGTTTGTGAAACTCATCTTCCGCCTGAATTCAGTCAAGAGATATCGAGGCGATAACGAACATAAAAAAAATTTTTTGCAGCTTCTTGAAGCGCAGACAATGTGCGTGATTTTTAGAGACAACGTCAACTTGTGTTCTGAAGTGAGCGAAAGAGTTATTCAGCATTTCGTGCACTGCATTGAAACGCACGGGAGACATATTCAGTACCTGAAATTTTTGCAAACGATCGTACAAGCGAATGGACAATTCATACGCCGTTGTCAGGACCTGGCCATGCAAGAAGTCAGTCGACATTTGCTGTAAAAAACGGGAAATGATGATGGTTGTTGATTAATTTTAGATGATCAATGCTGGTGAAGATGTCCTGGTATTCTACAATGACAAGTCTTCATTCAATCAGTTTTTGGAGTTGATGCGTTCTGAGAGACATCGGTTAGATGAAAGCAGTCCATTACAGTATCACATTGAGCTGGTTAAGCTTCTAGCTTTATGCACCGGCGGGAAGAACGTGTTCACAGAGATCAAGTGTCATTCGCTGCTTCCATTGGATGACATTGTGAATATGGTTGCTAACAAGGATTGTATTCCTGAGGTTCGTTCATGGAGGGATATATTGAGTTCTTTTTTTTGGGATGCCTGAAAAGTTGCATTAGATCAATTTTCCAAAGTTGTCCACTGCAGGGACGAACTTTTTTCTGCCGTTATAAGATGTCACTAATTTTCAGATTTGCGAACTTCTGCCGCCTTCGGATTCCTCGTGCGTAACATTTAAAATTTGACCAAACAAAGAGTTCAAATTTTCAAAAATAAGGATCAAGGATTTTGTTGTCTTATTTCGAGGGGAAATTTGAGAGATTTTCCCGGATCAGCATTTAATTCCACGAAGGTTTTTGTGTTCCGAACCTTGAAACAAGATCGAAAAACTTATTTTCGTTGTTCGAGAACTTTTTGAACTTCCCGTATTTATTTTTTTGCAAATTTATTTGACAAGTTAATTTTTGTTGCCTATACTTGAGAGCGTTTTCAATCATCTTTAGCATCCGAACATTTTTTTTGTGATACCATTTGTTGAGGAAATGGATTAAGTTCCGTAATTGAATTTTTTTTGCAGGTGAAGGAAGCGTACATTAATTTCTTGAATCATTGCTACATCGACACGGAGGTGGAAATGAAGGAGATTTACGCTTCTAATCAAATTTGGGCGTTGTTCGAGGATAGCTTT